CTTAAACATTTAACCAACTTGGCTAAACATGCCTGGAGAAAAATAGAATACCTTGGCCATTGCACAACTCCAGATACTTTTGTTGACTAGGAAGTGAGGCATCGAGATTAAGTTTATAACAGAAAGCCAAAGAGCGAGAGAGTAACCTCACTTTAGTGTCTCTGTGGTTGCAAAACCTTAAATTGGCAGGGTTGCTTTTCCTAGGTTTCAGCCCAAGTCTTATGAACTGGCAGTGGGGTAAAAGTGCAACTACTTTAAAGCCTCTGAATGTTTGAGGGGTCATGTGAGGATAATGAAAAGAAAAGTCTGCCTCTGAATGAAAATTTGACCTAATGAATTGGAACAGAGAAGTCAGGTGGCAGATGGATCTTCAGTTGACACCTCAACAATGTAATAGTAGATCCCCTCTGAATATCAGAGGCAGCAGCATTCCAAAAGGTAGGCACCATGATTTAGAAGGACCATCTGACAGTCTCTGGGGTGTGTCCAGAGGAGAACAGCCAAAATGATAAGGGATCTGGAAAGAAAAGCATTTAATATGTTTTGCCTGAAGTATCTGAAGGGCTGTCATACTGAAGAGAGGGCAGAATTGTTTAAAGTTATTCCAAGGGACTAAACAAGAAATGGTAAGTTTACATTTCAAGGACGTAGATTTATACTGAACTCCAGGAAACAATTAACATTAAGAGCTACTGAACGATGGAACAGACTTCTGGGGGGTATTTAAATGGAGGCTGGATGGCCATCTGTAGTTGTGGATTCCTGCACTGGACAGAGTATTAGCTAGATGATCTTCAAAGTCCCTTTCATTCTATAATTCTGTGGCACCTGCAGTAGAACCTCCTCATGTGGTTATAGTAACTGAACAGCTTTATAAAGGGAAAGATGGTCTACATATCAGGATGTTAAGTTATTTAGAGCTTTACACACCAGGAAAAGCTTGAACCTAGCCCAGTAGCAAATTCATATCCAGGAGAAGTGTGTTATCCCATGGGCCCTCCTCAACAGCCTGGCTGCCATTCTGGACTGCACCTTGTAGTCCAAGTACAAAGGCAGCCCATACAGAGCACACTGCAGTAATGCTGTTTCCAGCTCTCAGGTAACAGCAGCTGGCTTACTCTGTACAAGAAAAGTTGTAGTTGGTAAAGGCACTCCTAGCAACTGAGATTACTCAAGCCCCCAGTGATCATTATGACTCTAGAGAGCTTTCTTCAAACTGCATTCCTTTTGAAGCAGCCCAACCCTCTTTCAGAACAGACAGACACTGTGATGCCTCTATTTGGAAGCCTCCACCCACGAGGCTTCCATCTTGTCAGATTTAGCCTCAATTTATTGGCCCTCACCCAGCCCATTACTGTATCTTGGCACTGGTTCATGACACGCACAGCCTCATCTGATTGAGATGTTATGGAGAAACATAGCTATTCTCAGCATAACGATGGCACCCATCCCCAAACTCTTCATGACTGCCCCCAACAGCTTCATATAGAACTTAAAGAGCATTGGGGACATAGCAATGCCTTGTAGCCACAAAGGCATGCACAGACACAGTCACTCAGGCCTCTCCTTGAAACCGTTCCTTCAAGCAGGAATAGAAGCAACCCAAAACATCACCTCCAACCCCCATCTATGGGGATGATTCAGAAGGCTTCAACATTATCAAAAGCTCCAGAGAGATCCAGAGAGATCCATCTTGCCTGTGTCTCTCTCTATCAGGGGCCCAAATCTGATTTACTATCCAAACTGCCCTGGACTGTGATTGAAAGAAGTTAAGTTTCTTCAACAAATGCCCGTGGCTCTGTGGACACTATCCTCCCCAATACCTTACCTCAGAAAGGAACTTTCCCAACCAGGCTCCTTTTGTTCTAAATCTCCTCTGAGCATTAGAAGGTTTTTTTCAGGAACATTGCCTCCTCCTGAAAAATCCCAGTAAGACAGACTGCAAGCCGTAAGGCTGATGACACCCTTTCACTGCACAAAGACAAATTCTCTGCTCCCTGGATTTAGGCTGTCACACATCCCTTTCACTTGACTAAATCAAGGGCAAGGGAGCAAAAGCCTGCTTGAGGAAGAAGTGCCTGGCCCTCAAGAGGGAAAGCAATCCCACTAACTGGGGCAGAAGGTGAACCAGCCACCTCCACAAATGCAGAGCTGAAAGCAACATCAGCAGGACCACAAGCCACTTCATCCTTGAAGGGGCTCCATTATGGGATTACCAGGCGCAGATGAAAGCAAGCCCTGAACTGCTTTAAAAAGCTCTGCTGGACCTCTGCCTGAAGACAAAACAGAGGCTATAAAGTGAGTCTGCTTTGAAAGCTGCACTGCCACAGACACATGGGCCCAGTCAGTCTCACAACAGCTGTTGGGCCACCTGTACAGTGCCAGCTACTGCTCAGCACTTTCCAGAAAACCCGGGAGGGCTGGTTGGGTCAATGCCATTCAGTGCTACAGTTCAATCAGTTTCAATAGGATGACTGGTTCTGGCCTATGACCCTTCCCCAGAGTGAGCAAGAATCCACAAGATTCTATAAATCTTGGTGGAATTGAGTTATCCTTCTTTCCTGCAAAGGGATGAAGCTTCTCCACGACAGTGGTCTGATCCTCATTACGTTCTGATGCAAAAAGTAAGTTGAGGGCATGTCCTCTTGTCTGGGTTGGTCTGATGACAACCACTCTACTATGATAGGGTTAGGTTTTGATCCCACAGCTGTTGTGGAGATCACACAAACTGGATCTGTGCATTAGAGAGGAATCCAGTTGTCATTCCAGAAATCCAGCTGCTGCTTGAAGGAAGCTCAGGGCTTGCAGACTATCTTGCTGGGATTTTTCAAAAGGGCCGTTTCTGCATATCAGCTGCAGCCAGAATCATTGCAATGCAGCTGCCGGCAGATGCTGCACCGTGCCTGAATGCTTCAATATTTATTTACAGCAGGTTGAAGCTCGTACGTATAAAGACTTGTGCCTGTTCTTTCTACGCCACTTGACTAACAAAATTTGAAGTAAAAAGCTGCTGACAGAACTACTACTCACCTGAGCAAGTACTAAAATCTTTTAGGAGCCAAAAATGGACAGAATTCATTTTAGATAGATTATGATTGATTGATTGATTGATTGATTGATTGATTGATTGATTGATAGACAGACAGACAGACAGACAGACAGACAGATGATGATGATGATGATGATGGGGGAGAGAGAGAGAGAGTATACATAGATAGATAGATAGATGAGTAGTAGGAGTACGTTGGGTTCGTCGTGTAACGTTAGGTTG